TCCAAAAGGGAGCAGATCCGGGCCAGGCTGTGCCAGGAGCCTCTGGGAAAGGTGGCAGCAACAACATGGAAGTGTTGGAACAACAGCCAGGGTGACTCTCAGAAGTGGGGAATCCCTCCTCGTGCCAGTCTGAAAGGAACAGCAAACCCCTGCTCCCCCTGAGCGAGTCGGACCCATTTGTTCAGTGCTGTGGGGGCTGTTGGGGGGATCTGGTAAATCCATGACAGGAAATACAAAAATAGAGTCTCCTCTTAATGTAAAAATGCTTTCAAGTTACCTGAGCTGTAAGGAAGAGGATCACCTGGGAGGCTGAGGAAGCAGCAGCCCCACAGCTCCTGCTCCAGCTGCTTGTGCAGAGCTGGGGAATTCCAGACCAGACTGGCAGCACCTGGAACCTGAGAATCCCAGCATGATTTGGGTTGGAAATTACCTTAAAGCCCATCCAGAGCCACCCCTGCCATGGGCAGGGACACCTTGCAGTGTCCCAGGCTGCTCCAAGCCCTGTCCAGCCTGGCCTGGGACATTTACAGGGATGTGCAATCCACAGCCTCTCTGTTCCAGGGCCTCACCAGCCCTGTAGTAAAATACTTCCTAATTTCTAATCTGAACCTTCCCTCCTGCCTAAGCCCGCTCCTGTTTTCCCCACAGGCAGGGGAATACTCAGACGATTTTGGCAGGGTGGGACGGTCACTGGGGGAATTGTGACAATTGCTCCTTTTCACCGAGCAGAGCTCAGGGCCTGCAGCAGCAGCTCCCGGGGAGCTGTGGCCAGAAACTGGGCCAGTAACACAAAGGGCCTTCAAGAGGCTCTGAACCAGCATCCGCTCCCCAGGTGAAGCTGAAAGAGCCGGCAGCAAATCCACGGATGCAGCTAGAGGCAATGCCAGGCTCCCCCGGGGGGCTCCCACAGGAGATGGCACACAGGTGGCAGCACGAGAGCCCAGGGCTGGCTGCAGCCCGCAGGCTTTGCCTCCTGGCCCTGCAGGAATTGCCTCCTGTCCCTGCAGGAATTGCCTCCTGTCCCTGCAGACACTGCCTCCTGTCCCTGCAGGAATTGCCTCCTGTCCCTGCAGACACTGCCTCCTGTCCCTGCAGGAATTGCCTCCTGTCCCTGCAGACACTGCCTCCTGTCCCTGCAGGAATCGCCTCCTGTCCCTACAGGAATTGCCTCCTGTCCCTGCAGCCCTCAGGCACTGCCTGCTGTCCCTGCAGGAATTGCCTCCTGTCCCTGCAGGCATTGCCTCCTGTCCCTGCAAGCATTGCCTCCTGTCCCTGCAGGCACTGCCTGCTGTCCCTGCAGGAATTGCCTCCTGTCCCTGCAGCCCTCAGGCACTGCCTGCTGTCCCTGCAGGAATTGCCTCCTGTCCCTGCAGCCCTCAGGCACTGCCTGCTGTCCCTGCAGGAATTGCCTCCTGTCCCTGCAGGCATTGCCTCCTGTCCCTGCAGCCGGCCAGGATCCTGGAGAAGGGCCCTTGGACACAGCCCTGGAGTGCAAGAGAGCATGGCAGGGCTAACCCAGGGGCAGGGCAACAGGAGGACTGCTCCCTGTGTCCCTTGTGTCCCTTGTGTCCCCTGCATTCCTCTGTTCCCTGTGTCCCCTGTGTTCTCTGTGTCCCCTCCGTTCCTGGTGTTCCCTGTGCTCCATGTCCCTCTGTCCCCTGTGTCCCCCCTGTCCCTGGTGTCTCCTCTGTCCCCTGTGTCCCCTGTGATCCCTCTGTCCCCTGTGTCCCCTCTGTCCCTTGTGTCCCCCCTGTCCCTGGTGTCTCCTCTGTCCCCCTTGTCCCTGTGTCCCCTCTGTCCCCTGTGTCCCCTCTGTCCCCTGTGCTCCCTGTGTCCCCTGTGCTCCCTGTGTTCCTCTGTTTCCCAAGTGCCTCCTGGAGCCCCTTCAGGCCCTGGCAGGGCTCTGAGCTCTCCCTGGGGCTCCTCTCCTCCAGGTGAGCACCCCCAGCTGTCCCAGCCCGGTCCCTCAGAGCTCCCCAGGGTCTCATTTCCACTTTAACCCCATAATTGTTCTCCTGTCCTGCCCAGCTCTGCTTCGGAGTAAAGGGAGATTTTCAGGCGCTCCATCAGTGCTCTGTCTGCTGCCAGACCTCTCGTGGATGAAACCCAGGGGCTGTGTAGGAGGTTAAAAATATCTCCATTCATTATTTACTCCTTGCAGCAAGAACCCGCTGCTTTGAAGTGTGATTATAAATAAAAACACCATCAGAAACCCGCCTGCCCACCCCTTCCCCTGCAGGAATATTTGCTCTTTGTCCTGCTCTGATCTCCTGTGAACTCTTCCAGATCACCTCCTTCAAATATATATTTTAATTTTCTTTCAGTGCAAATCAACCCTTTCTGGAAATGCATTTCCAGCGGTGCAGCCCCGTTTGCCTCGGCAGCCTTGGAGCTGCTCGGCTGTGGCAGGGATCAAAACCAATTTTGTTGTTTATCCCAGTATTTATAGAGCTCCCAGAAATGCACGTACAGATAATTCCACGTAGGTGGAAAACAAGGAGCATCATCATCACCCCCTGAAATGCTCTGCCACTCCTTCTCAAAACAGAAACAAAGCAATCTTCAGATCAGCCCGAGGGAATAAACACGTTCTGCATCTGAAGGCAGAGTTCCTTTAAGTTGACCCGACTTATTTTCAATAAACATCTTTCCCTCCCCCAGCAGATCTAAACCCTTTCTTCAAAGATAAACTCCCCGTGGGGGGCTGTGGATTCCAGGTTTGGAGTTTCACTGGGAGCCAGGGGCTCATAATTCCCAGTGTGAGCAAGGTTTTAGGGATAAAGGGTGATGTTTGCTCACTAAAACACATCTAAACCACATCTCACTAAAACCTGGCAGGCTGGACCCTGGGGCTGGGGCAGCCTGGGGCAGTGAGAGGTGTCCCTGCCATGGCAGGGGTGGCACTGGGTGGGGTTTGAAGTCCCCTCCAGCCTAAACCATTTTGGAATTATATTTTTCAGATAAATTACAACAAAGTGCTGAAAACAATCCCCCAGGGAGGGTGGGACAGTCCCGGGAGGCTGCATGGCTCAGCTCCCCTCCAGAGGGGAAATTCCCTCTTGGGACAGGCAGTGCCCATCCCAGACCCCTGCAGAGCCCAGGGCAGCTCTGCTCTGCAGGGCACCACAGTGGGATTTTCCACACCCAATCCCTGCTGCACTTCCAAGGAAAAGTCCAGAGATGCCTTGTGGAATCACCCAGCTCTGCAGGGGGGAAATAAAACCAGCCCTGGGCCCAGGGTTAGCAATTCCAGGGGCTAAATTGTGTGGAAACAAGGATGGAAACACGTTTGTTTTGATAAGTGAGAGTTTGACTGGAAGAAAACATCTGCAAAATCCCTCCTGTGGCACTGAAGGCTCTGCTCCAGCTGGAAATCTCTGCCAAGGGACACTAAGTGTGGCTCCACGAGGAGCTGGTGACAGTGTGGTGACAAGGAATTGCTGGTGTGTGCAGCAGGTGGGTGGCAGGGGAATCACTGCTCCGAGCTGGGAGAGGGGAAAGGGAAGGATGGAAATGGATCTGACAGTGGTGGGAGATAAACACGGACCGGGACCTTCTCCAAGAACATGTGGGGCCCGTGGATTTCCCATTTCAAGGCTCTGGAAGCTGCATTTGGTGAGAGTGAGGGAAGAGGGGAGGAAGGAAGGAAGGAAGGAAGGAAGGAAGGAAGGAAGGAAGGAAGGAAGGAAGGAAGGAAGGAAGGAAAGGAGAGCGTTTGCCTGCTCGGGAATGCTGGCTTTGAGCAGAAATGTTTGCTGCGGGCAGCAGGAGGAGGAGGAGGAGGAGGAGGCTGCAGGCACCGCCTGTCACTGACCCCACGCGTCTCCTCTTCTCCCCCTTCACCCCCAAGCATCGGCGGACGTTTCTCTCCCGAGACAGCCCCGTGGGAGTCACTTCTGGGGTGACACGGGGGTGCTGGGGACACTTGGAGCCGTGTGTGTTACAGGGTAGCTGCGCAGGGCCCGGCGCTGCCCCCGTCGTGTGCAGCGTGGGAATTGCCAAGCCCGGCCCTCCGGAGGAGCAGGACATCCACAGCCCCCCCGGATCTCCAGGGAAATCAGCTCTGCCCGTCACAAAATGTGCTTTTTGTAGCGATTTGCGGTACGAGCCAGTGGCCACTTGTCCCTCACCTCTGGGGGGGCAGGGGGTGACCCAGCCCTGCAGGGTGGGATTGTCCCTTCGTTAATTCCCCACTGTGGCTCTTTTCGTGCCAACCCCGGCAGCTGCGTGTCCCAGAGGAGCTGCTCAGGGAGCAGAGAGCCAGGCGGGTCCTGTGCTGCTCTGAGACACTTTTGTGGGGACGAGGAGCAGAAATGCCCCAAAGGGATGAGCTGATGGACATTCCAGCTCCCTTCAGAGCGCACAGGGGCTGAAGATTCCTTGGATTTCAGTAAAGACCTGTAGTCAAGGGAAATGGGCAGAGGGTGGCAGGGCTGGGCTGCCCTGGGGCTGTAGGGTGAGGGGCTGGGGGGCCCTGGGGCTGTAGGATGAGGGGCTGGGGTACTGTGGGGACACAGGGTGAGGGGCTGGGGTGCTGTGGGGCCATGGGGTGAGGGGTTGGGGTGCTGACCCTCTGCAGGGAACTGCGAGCAGGTCCCAAATCTCTTTATACCGCATCACAAGTCCCCTCCACCTCCCGGCCCCGCTGCTCCCCCACCGTGTCTTTGAGCTGGAATTTTTGGAATTCTCCAAGAGTTTGGAACTTTATTCAGCGATGGAATAAGGGGAGAGAAGAAAGGATACCTCTCAGGGTCCCTTTCAGCACGGCAAAGGCTCGGCAGAGCTCGGGCACCCCCCAGACCCCAGGCAGGGCTTTGCTGTCACCGGCAGCACTTACAGCCAGGGACAAGAGGAGTCTCTGCCGGTGCTGGGGGATCCCGGGCAGTGCTGGATGCCCACGGAGGCTGCAGAACTCCCCGGGTGGCCTGAAGGGCTGTGCTGGGCTTGGGGCTGGGGGAAAGCAGATCTGGGAGCGTTTCTGGTGAGCGCTGGAGCTCGGTGTTGGAGCCTGGCCTCAGAATTCCCACAAAATCTGCCCGTGCTGTCCCAGTTTGCCGAGCCCCATGCTGCAGACAGGCCAGGGAAGTGTGAGAAACTCCAGCCTGGTTGCCCTCCCCTCCAGCACCCCAAACTGGGCCAGACTGGGTGGAGTGGGCCAGGTCTGCAGTCCCGGTCCTGGCACTGCCTCGGCCTCTCTCTGCAGCACCACGAGGTCGATCTGGTCCGGTCCGATCCCATCTGATCCGACCTGATCTGGTCTGCTCTGATCTGATCTGATCTGATCCGGTCCGCTCTGATCCACTGTGATCTGCTCTGATCCGGTCTGGTCTGATCCACTCTGATCCAGTCTGCTCTGACCCAGTCTGCTCTGATCCCGTCTGCCCCGCTCTGCTGTGCCCGCTCTGGCCCCGAGGGGACGATGCAGAGCGGAGCTGCCGCTCCGGTGGCCACAGCCCGGCCGGGGGTGGCCAGCGCGGGGAGGGGTCCCCGTGCCCGTGCCCGGGTGGCACACGGGGGTGTCCCCAGGGCAGCTACGCGCTTTGGAAGCCCCACACCTCCAAGAGCTGCACCTGGAAGTTCTCCTGGCAGAGCGGGGGGTTGTCGAAGGTCTCGCAGTGCTCCGTGTGTCCCCGGAGCAGGCTGGCGTCCAGGGACAGCGCTTGGCCTCCGCCTCCACCTGCGGGAGCGAGCGCAGGCTCGGCCCGGCGCTCCGGGCTGGTCCAGCCCCGGCTGCGGTGCCCCCGCACGAGGGAGGGAGGGAGGGAAGGGCGGCCAGGGGCGCTCCGGCCCCGGGCAGCGACCCCCGGCAGGGTTCGGGCTCGGGGGTCCCCCTGGGGCTCTGGGAGGAGCCCCCTGGGCTGGGCAAGGGGAGCTGGCCTCGCCTGCCCGGACTTGAACCGATATCCCCAGCCGGAGCTCCTGGGAGCCGGCAGGGATCCCCCTTATCAATAGGGATCCTCCCTTATCAATAGAGATCCCCCCTTATCAATAGGGATCCTCCCTTATCAATAGGGACCCCTCCTTATCAATAGGGATTCCCCCTTATCAACAGGGACCCCCCCTTATCAATAGGGACCCCCCTTTATCAATAGAGATCCTCCCTTATCAATAGGGATCACCCCTTATCAATAGGGACCCCCCCCTTATCAATAGGGATTCCCCCTTATCAGTAACAATCCCTTTTACCAATATCGATCCCACTTACTGATATCAATCCCTTTTACCAATATCAATCCCCCCTTATTGATAACTATCCCTCCTCACCAATATCGATTCCCCCCTTGCCGATATCGATTCCCCCCTTACCGATATCGATCCCTTTTACCGATATCGATCCCCCTTGCCAATATCGATGCCCCTTACCGATAACGATGCCGTCCCGGGAGCCGGACATGAACATGGAGGCAGTTTTGGAGGGCAGGAGGAAGTGCCTGATGGCCAGGAACGGGGACAGGCGGCCTCTCCTCTGCGGCGAGGGCACGGCCAGGTGGTTGGGGCTGCAGCTGCGGCTGTCCGGGGAGGAGCCGAGCAGGGATTCGGGAGCGGGGGAAGGCGAGCGCTGCCGGGAGCGCGGCACGGCCTTGGCCAGCTCCGGCTTCTTGATGAGCACCCACTCGTACCTCTCTGCCTCGGGGCGCACCTGGGCAGCGGGACACGCCTGTGAGCCCCGGGGCACCGCGCCAGCCCGGGGGAAGGCGCTGCTGCTGCTCCGGGTCTGGAGCTGGGGCAGGCGAGGGACGGGCTGTCCTGGCAGGGCAGCAACGAAGGGACAGAGCCGGACACAAAGCGTGACTTACCGTGAACACAAAGCACTCCCCTGTCCCAAAAAAGCCCGATGTGGCTCCGCTCTTCTTCCTTTCGGCCCAGTCGGAGGAGAGAAACGCCCCACAGACCTGGGGAGAGAGCACAGGGAGCTCAGAGGATGGATCAGCCTCAGCCGTGGCCTCTCTCCCCCTCACCCAGTGGGGTCACCCAGCCTGTGCCCTTCCCCAGCCCTGCCTGGGGAGCGCTCACCTCCCCCTCGGTGGTTTTGATCAGCAGCACCGTGGGTTCGTAGCCCTCACAGCACGTGTAGAACCTGCAGAGATGGACAGGGTGGGCTCGGGGGAGCTGGAGCCCTGGGCAGGCTGTGCTGGCTGGCCCTGGCCACTCACAGCGTGCCTGGCACGGTGTGGCACACGGGGACATCCCTGCCTGGCACACCCACAGGGCTCCCTGTGCCCAGCTGTTGGTGGCCATCTGGGCCAGCCTCTGCCCCCTGCCCTGAGCTGTGCTCAGGAGCCCGAACCGAGCCCAGGAGGGTCCCCAGCAGCCCCAGAGGTGGCCCAGGTCACTCGTGCTGCTCCTCTCTCCAGCACCAAGCCCTGCCCAGGTCTCCCCCCGGGCAGGTGAGGCTTCACCTCTGCAGGCTGCAGCCGTCCTCGGAGGTGGCCTGGCAGGGCTCCCCAGGGGCTGCGAGGGCCCAGCACAGCCACAGCTGGGAGGTTCCTGCAGCTCCCCCAGGGGTTCCCCACAGGAACTCCCATTTTGCCAGCTCAGCCCCAGAGCTGGGGGGCGCAGAGCTCTCTCACCTTCTCTGCACCACGGTGATGCCCCTCTCCACCAAGGCCTTCCTGTTGGCCATGTGGAGCAGCCAGATCTCCTTGCGGGAGAAGAGCCGGATGCCAAAGGCTCTCTCCAGGAGCTTGTCCACAGTCGCGTGCTCGGCGATGTTCCTCACGAAAGCCTGCAGCTCCGCCTTGACGTCGGAGCCCTGCGGCCCGGCCGGGGCGGCCGAGAGCCGGAACTGCTTCAGCAGGGCCAGGGCGATGCGGTACAGCACCTTCTGGCCCTCCAGCAGGAACACGTCCAGCACGCGCACGGCGTAGGCGAAGGGCAGCCCGGGGAAGAGCCACGACAGCCACTCCGAGTAGACCTCGAGCACGTTGTCGGCGGCGCCGGCTATGAGCTTGTGAGCCGCCGGGCAGTGCTTGCTGGCCAGGTCCCCGAAGGTCATGCAGGAGGCCTGGTGGGCCAGGAAGGACTGGTCGATGTAGGCGGCGTGGGGAGCGTTGCTGGCGATGAGGCGCGAGAGGCTCTCGAAGCACTGGGCCTCGTCCTCGCTGTAGTGCAGCAGCAGCGCCGCCAGCGCCGGCAGCAGCGGGCTGTGCGTGATGTCGGGGAACAGGGCGCCCACGCAGATGAGGATCTTCTTCAGGGCCGTGACCCCGTGCGGGCTGAGGCAGTAGGTGGGCACGGGGCAGCCCTCCAGGAACTCGGGCAGGGGGTGCGAGCTCACGCTGGGCTTCCCGAAGAGCCGGCCGGCCACGTCCCGGTACACGAGCGCGTCGGGGGTGACGAGGCGGCAGGAGACCCGCTGGATGAGCCGGGGGTAGAGCCGGGCCCGGCCCGCGTGGCTCCCGGCCCAGCAGCCTTCCCTCGCCAGCCGCTTCAGCTCCTTCGGGGGCCTGCCCAGGACGTCCCGCGGGATCTGCGCCGGCCCCTGCGGCTCCGGCATCTTGTCCCAGTCCACGAAGTGCCCGCAGCCCCGGCACGAGGAGGTGTCGATGTCCCAGGTGTCAGCCTCGGACGTGACCACGATGGTGACCGGGGATGAGCCGAGCGCCTCTGCGGGACAAAGAGCTTTTACTGATCGCCTCTCACCGCCCCACCGGCAGCGTTCCGCCCTGGCTCGGGGCGCTCCGAAGTCTCACAGCCGCGTCCTGCGTTTCTTTGTTCTCCCCCGCAAAGGGAAGCGTTTCAGGCTTTGCCCTCTCCCGCTCCCATCAGCTCCGGGCCCCGGAGAAGCGCGGAGCCGGGTCCCAGCTGGCTGTCAGGGCTTCTTCTCACACCGTGAGGGGCTTTTCAGCCCTCCCAAAGCTCCCAGCCCCGAGGCAGGGCTCGGGCACCGCCGGCCCGGCGCTGGGAAGAGCGGGGTCTGAGCTCCGCCTAGAGAGACGGGAGCGGCATTTCCCCGGGGCTGCGGAGAGCTCGAGCGAGCCCTGCCCGGGCTGGGAGCTGTCCCCGCGCGGGTGAGCTCCGCTGGGCACTCATCATCGGCCGAGGATACCGCCAATTAGCGCTCATTAGCTCTCGGATGTTTGTATCGTGCCCGTGCTCAGCTGCTGGGGCTCAGGGATGGATTCGCGCTGAGCCAAGGGGACACGGGGGACAGCCCGTGGTGGCCCTTCGGGGGGTCCTGACGCCCGGGCCGGCTCCGGCTCCGGCTCTCGCTCTCCGGCTCAGTTTGGCGCCTGCCCAAGGCCAGCAGGAGCAGCGGCTCGGGCTCAGCCCGGTTCAGGGCAGGAGCTGCTGCATCCGGAGCCGCTCGGGCCGACTCCTGTCCCGGCCACAGCCTGACCCCAGCACGGTCACGGGGGCTCCTGGCCACAGAAACCAGGCTGAGACAACACCGGGGGTCGATCAGGGGCTGTTTGCTCCCCGAATTCACCCTGTCCTCTCTAGGGGCGCTGCCCTGCCCGGGTACCGAGGAGCAGCAGCCCGAGCCCACCCGCCCGCGGTGCCCCGGCCCCGGGTGCTGAGCGGAGGCTCCGGCTCTGCCCGCCCCGGGACGGCCCCGGGGGGCTCGGGGCAGGAACGCGGCTGTGCCGCAGCCCCTGCGCTCCCCGGCCGTGGCCCGGCTCGGCGGGTCCCGCTCGTGGCACTCACCTGGCCCGGTGCCCGTGTCCTCGCCCGCGGCCGGCTCGGCCATGGGCAAGGCGGCGGCCGCGGCCCCGGGGCAGCGGGGCAGGCTGAGCCCCACCTGCAGCATGTGCCAGCTCGGCCACCCCGCGGGTCCCCTCTGGCCCGCACCTGCCCGCGCTTTTAAGGTGCGGGCCAGCCCGCGGCCCCGGCCTTTGTTTGGGGTAAACACAGCGAGGGTGGAGCAGCTCCGCGCCCGCATCGCCCCTTCCTGCCCCGATTCCGCGCCGGGCCCGGCCGGGGGCTGTAAACACCCCGTGGGCCGCGATAGCATCAAACAGCAACACGGGCAGTAAATGAACCCTTTATTCCCGAGGATAACCTTCGTGCTCCCGCTCGGGCTGCGGCTCCAGCGGTCCCGGTGCGCCCCCGGGAAATGGCCGGTACCGATCGGTCCCGGCCTCAGAACGCGCTGCGGAGCTGCGGGACGAGCGCCGTGCTCACGGACACAAGGGCTGCGCTGGAGGAAAAGCGGCCTCCAGCAGCCGGGAGAGGCTCCCAGGACAGCGCCCCGCTCCCGCAGCGCTGCCGCGGAACTCTCGGCTCGGGCTGCGCTTAGCGGGCACTTTTATAGGCATCCTAACCTTGTAAAGGATGTTTATTTGCCTTATTTTAGCCTAACAAAGACCACACTATGGGGCAGGTTGCTCCTGACCAGGTCCGGCTGCACCTGCAGCAGCTCCCTGAGCATCCTCTGGCCCCGCGGCACCTCCCGAGCACGGCTCCCTGCTTGAGGAGCCTCTCCTTTCCCTCACCTTCGCCGTGCTGTGCCGAGTCCCTCGGGAGCAGCTCGGCTGTCCCGTCACCCCTCCCTTTGCCCCTGAAGAGCGAGCCCCGGGAGTGGGGGCGAGGGTCAGCAAAGGCGCCCGGGCTGTGCCGGGGGCCAGAGGGGCGAGGGGTCTCCCAGTGGGAGTTATCCTCATCCTGATCTCCTTCTCTGGATCCCCCCCGGAGCCGGCCAGGGCCTGACGGGTGGTTCTGCTCCACAGGCTGCTCCCACAGGGGCAGTGCCGGCCCCAGCCCCGCTCCTGGTCCCAGGGGTCCCCTCACCGCACCCCGCGCTGCTCCCCGGTGCCAAGGGGCCGCTCGTTCTCTCTGCAGCCCCGACCCTGCCCAGCTCCGGCTCCCGCTGCCTTCCCCGGACCCTGCCGGCCGCCTTATCCTCATTTGCCTTCCCCAGGACAGCGGCCGCCTCTTCTGCCATCCCCCCGCAGCTCCGACACCTCCGGCAGCCGCTCCGGAGATGGAGATGCAAGTGAATTAGGGACAGGGCGATAGGAAATGTCGCTTCATGCGTTTTTAATGGCGAAATATGAAATATGTAGAGGCCGTGGGGCTCGGGCTGAGCAGCGCAGCCC